GGGCCCCGAGGACAGGCGCGGAGCCTCCCGCCGCCGCCAGGGGGCGCTGCAGCGGGCGCCCGCCGGGAGCTGGCCCCGCACCGCGACCGCGCTGCAGCCGGAGCCGGCCGGGACAGCCTCGCGCAGACACTAGGCGCCTGTGTCCGAGATTTAAAGGGACGCCTGAGACTCGGGCCAGGCAACCCTGTGAAGAACCAGGGTGGCTTAGAAAGGAAAATTCGGGCGCGCTTCTAAGCATCGTCTACAATATGTTCTAGGGAACTGGACTTTGTGGGCACTGTGTCTGGGTAAAGCTGCTCTTAATAAACTAAGAAAGGAGTCTCTGGAGCTGTGTTCAGTATTTTACTCTCACCACTGTGATCCCAGACGCGGGGTCTCAAAACGTACTTGGAGGATGGAGAGTATGAAAAAACTGTGGTTTTCAATCTGGAGTGGGTTTCTTTCTTTGGCACCAAAATAAACTTGGACATTAATTCTACTTGGCTGTGAGCTTTTGGGTAGATCATTTTTATTCCCTCCTGTATTTTTCCACGCTTTCTACAGTAGCATAATTTAAACAATCTGTAAAAAAAAAAAAAAAAAAAAAAAAAGAAAAAAAAAAAAAAAAAAAAAAAGAAAGAAAGAAACAAATGGGGCGGCAGGTGGCATGTGGTTGGGGGTGCTGGATTCCCATAGGGTTGACTGCGGTTCTAGTCCTGGACCTGGCAGCTTGCTTTCTCGGTTTTCCTTTCTCTCTCTCAAGTAATAATAATAACAAATGGAATTAAATAAATAAATAAATAAATAAATAAATAACTTGTTAAAAAAATCTTTTCCCCCCAACACATGGGGCCAGGAGGTGGTGTGATGGTCAACGAATTGGATTCCCACATGACAGAACAGGTTGAAGTCCTAATCTGACTGCTTGAAAATCACATTGGGTATATGTGCATGAGTGCCTAAAACCCCCAGAGGAAAATGGAGGAGAAGGGATTGCAGCCATGGCCATCCCCCCTGAGGTGTGCTTTCTCGCTTTCTCTCTCTCTTTTTTCAGGCAGGCATGCACACACACCCAGCATGAGTTTAAGCCACCGGGTCCGGGACTCGAACCATAGTCAACTACATGGGAGTCCAGCGACACAGCCTTTATGCCAACTGCTGCTCCCTGATTTCTCATTTTCCCAGTCTTTGTCTCTCTCTAGGGAGCTCATGTGCCTTATGTCAAAAACCTAAAAACAAAAACAAAAACAAAAAACCAATGCTCCTCCCATAACATGGAGAAGCAATGCAGTAACAAATCTTTCCCAAGAGTACTTCATTGATCATTTCAGGACACTATATTCATTTTATCACAATATATACATTTTTGCCTCAAAAGTAAACCTATATACCTCCTAACCTAATTTTAAATTCCAGACAGATCAAAAACTTTAAATGTAAATGTAAATTTAAAAAAAGGGGGGTGGCTAGCAGATGGAGTGATGGTTAAGGCACGATACTCCCATGTAGCCCACCGCAGTTCAATAGCAAAATTTTAATAAGAAGTAAAATTAAATAACTAATTCTTTGAAAAAAAGAGCAAGAATCCTTTTTTATGCTTTCCAATGAGGAAGACGTTTCCAATAATACAAAATCTGGAAGCCGTGAGAGAAGTGCCTGCTAAATTAATACACATTTAAAAACAGTTCTCATAGCAATAACACTTAAGCCAAGTCAAGAGATAAACCGGGAAAAACACTTAAATTCATCTCAAAGAGATGCACAGATTTCAATTGTATGGCATTGGAAAAACAACAGAAATACACATTTAAGCTGGCAAATACACATTTATCTGGCTCTCGAAAGAGCCAGATAATGCAGAGTTGGGGAAGCTGAGAGAAAACAGGCACCCACCATGCTGTAAAACTGACAGCCTCTTTGAAGGGCAACCAAAGAGCAATCTGGCAGACATTTTCAAGACCGGGAATTGAAAGGTAGGGATGAGAAAGTGGCGCAGAGATACAAGAGAACACTGTGAGGCCGACCCACGTGGGAGGGCTCCAAGCTCCTATCTGGACCTCCCTGACCCACCAGTGGGAGGGCTCCAGGCTCCTATCTGGACCTCCCCCACCCACATGGGAGGCTCCAGGCTCAACCTCCCTGACCCGCGTGGGAGGGGCTCCAGGCTCCTATCTGAACCTCCCTGAGCACCCCTGGACACAATGCCTGTCCCTCTCGCTTTCAGTTTCTCTCACTCATGGAAGTAATATATGAACTTTAAGAAAATTGAAAATTAGAACAAATAGCTAGGTCAGGACCAGCAGTTGGCGTAATGGCTATGTTGCTGGACTCCCATGGAGTCGACCACGGTTTGATTCCCAGACCCAGTGGTTTAAACTCACAACCGGCGCGGCCCTGCAGGGCGGTGAGGGCAGGGCGGAGCCTCTGAGCCTCCGCGCGCCAGGGCTTCTGCAGTGCCCAGGGCTGCCCTCCGAGGCGGCCGGAGGGGACGTCCTGGAGAGCTACAGGCGGCGAGAAGGGAGCCGGCCGGGACAGCCTCGCGCAGACACTCGGCGCCTGTGTACGAGAAGCAACTGAATTATCCTTCCTCTTTCCTCCTTTCAAGACCTACCCACCGACAACAAGTACGGTTCTGGCCTGGTGTGTGTCCTGTGATGTCCCGGGTTTTATTCATCAGACGAAGCTCTGACTAGGAGCCCTGCAATCTTAGTGATCTGATTTACAACAGAGGCGTACTTCTTGCTGGTGCTACCCGTCCATCCAGAGAAGAGGTCTGTGGAGGAGGCTCTGTCCTCCAGAATCACCCTGGGACGGAAGATGATGGAGACCTCACCCATCTGCAAACGCATCAGCTGGAACTGGTCTGTGGCTGTTCTATGTGCCCGTGGCTGCTAGCATAAGTCATTCCAGTTGTGCGCAGTGTGCAGATCTAAATGCACACAGATTTAAACCAAGCCCAGTAACTTTCATCTTTATCCGTGTAGCTCCTGCAGTCCTCAATCAGTTGGTCTAAAACTAAGGTGGAAAACCAAGTAATCTTGTGTAGAAGCCCTAGCACCCTCCCCCACTATACCCTGCAACATTAACATGAGTCTCCATACTTATCCCTATTTCTGAAATATCTTATAGATGATCTTTCTTAAAAAAGGAAGTCATTACGGGAACCAGCAGTTAGCGTAATGGCTATGTCACTGGACTCCCGTAGTCAACCGCGGTTCGTTCCCGGACCTGGTGGCTTAAAACTCACGCCAGGCACGTGTGCATGCGTGCCCAAGATCCCGAGAGGAGAATGGAGGAGAAGGGATTGCGGCATGACCATCTCCCCGGGGGGTGATTTCTCGCTTTCTGTCTCTCTCTCTGTCTGTCTGGCGAGCGCACGTGCCCTAGAGCAAAAACCTCTCCAAAAAAAAAGGAA